TTTGTGAATTTGCTCGTGAATTTTGAGAAATTTCATTGTTGATTTACTATATAAAACAGTTATGTTAATTACTCAAATAATGGAAATTTCTTGGTATTTTAACCTATGGAAAAGCCAAAGGGAGAAAAATTGCATCCTGAATGTGGCATTTAATTGACTTTTCCATCTACTTTTTCCACTTCCAGAAGTAAAAAATGAAAAAAGTAAAATTATGGTTAATTGCTACCTTGTTTGAGAAAATAAATTTTAAAAATTTTCCAAATGTGGCATTTAATTGATTATTTTCATTTTCTTTTCCACTTCTACACAATATATTTTTTAAGTTTTACAAGTGAATTTAGATAGTTGTCTTGTATCCATTAAATGACCAACTAAGTCACTATTATTAAATTGACAAAACCGTATCAATGATATTTATAATTAGGATATACAATATGATTTTGGGTTATACAATGCAACAAATTAAAACGGCAAAGTCAATCAAAATTAAAAAGTTAAAGATTCAAATTCGAAAACACTTGAATTTAAAATAAACCTGAAAAAATCAAACCTAAATACCACATTCCAATGTTTACATCTTTCATAAAATATAAAATAACTTAAAATTAACTAGAAATGAAATGATTTGAACTCAGAACGATCCAAACTCGAAATTATCCGAACCCTAAAACAACCGATCTCAATATTACTCGTTTTGCTAACTTGTCTCATCTCATAATCTTATTCCTTCCTTGAAATTCAATCTTAAGACTTTCAAATTAAAAAATTTCAAGTTATTAAGCACTAGAAATGTAGAGGTGTGGACAGATCGAGCCCTAGACATGATTCTAACCCTATAAAAAAATATTTAAATAATCTGATAATATTTTTTAATATTCTAACAATAAACCGAACTGTTTTTCTCGAACTTAAAATTTTAAGATCTCAACCAACCTTTAATTCAATGTCTTTTTGAGAAAAAGAATTATTGAAACTTGTGGATAAGAATCCCTAACCTAATAACAAAGCATTGCCATGCAAATGCATGCATCAATGCATTAATGGGATTTGGAGTTTCAATTTCCAAGTGGCAAACGAAGCATGCAACTAGCTAGCATCAATTATTGCAGAAACATCGATTGCTTCAAAGGAAAAAACATTGATTACTACACGTGTCCAACACATTGGCGGAGGCTGCTGACAAGCCGCGCAGGCGGCCGTGCCTGGCGGCCGTCGCCCTTTAATTTGTTTTGCTTTGATCGTAAAACTCTTCAACTTCCCTTTAATGCAAGTCAACTTTTTTAATTTTTTCAGCTATGCGATTGGAGGGACTTAAACTAAGCTGGATTCATTAATGAGAATGACCTGTTACTAAGCCATAGAGAGCGGCTATTTAACAAGTTCACAAAGGAATCTCATTAAATATCAAAGAGAGAAATGGCCGGTGTTTAGCATGTTTTAATCCAAGACCCCTTGGGAATTGCCAAAAAGATAAAATAAAAAATAAAAAACCCTTTTTATCATAATGGATCTGCTAACATTTGTCACCTTTGAGCACAGTGATGGACTTAAAATTCTATATGAAAAATGGTTAAAGATAATTAATTGTATGTTACTTGATTTGATTTGAGGTGGTAAAATTATATATTTTAAATTTTATACATATAATAATAAAAAATTAAAAATTTAGAAGTAACGGTTGTCACCACCTTGGGTCCACTCTTGCTAAGTTGTTATTTATACAAATATTTCATATCAAATTCAAATGTGGTTGTCAATAGTTAATGTGATAATTTTCAATATATATATGATGAAGATATTAATTTAAGGGAAATGATAAATTATAGTGGTCTAATAGTTCTAATAAAGTACATAAAATATTTTTCTTAAAGTTCGCATTATTTTCACACATAATTAGAGATGTCGAGTACCTATTATTTTTTAAGTACCATAATCATAATTTTATTATTTGATAGGTTACGCTAACTTTATAAATATATAATTAAATTATTGAATTGCTATTTGAATCTTAAGAGCAGTACCCTAACTCGTGACAAGTAGTTGTTTTACTACCTAAATTTTACTTGAACTTGATTATAGAATATCTTAATCTTAATTAATCAAGTCAAGTAACATGGGGTACCCGATTATAAGGTCTTCAACAACATAGACAATCACTATTTATCCTAGCCTTTTTAGATTTTAAACCATTTGACCAGTCCTGATCTTAAATATTAATATTAATAAATTCCCTTAAAGGCAGCTCGTTAATGAGAGCAAAACCCTAGCTTGCTTTTTTTTGAATAGCTAGCTTGCTTTTAATATAAGTTAATGATCGATAAACTCTCCAGAATCCGCAGGAGTAGGAGTCAGGGTCCTAAATGTAGAACCTTGGCCATATACCCTTTTCCTTCTCCCTCCATGTCTTCTCCTCCTATTTCCCTTCCACTCGTAGTTCCCAAGCATAGGTTTTACCTTTTAGAGTACTGAAATCCCCAACTATTAATTAAAAGTTAAAAATTAATTGAAATGAACTGAAATTTGAAAAACAAAGTTAACTATTTAAAGAGCATGACTACCTATGAAGTACCATCCATTTGCCATTTCAAGTTAATCAAGTAACTTCATAGTGCAAACCAAATTACTTGACCTATATATATCTGTGTCTACCACTGTATCCTTTTTTTTATTAATTTTCTATTGACGACCACTCTATGTTTCAACAAATTTATATCATTATATGAAGTAAAACTAATCTAAAATCACAGCTTACGCTTGCCTTATCCCAACTGACTTAATCAACACTCCCACACACATTCATGAAGGAGATAATTGGTTAAGAATTCAACCTTGGTTGGCTATGTAACTTGGTGCGGATTGACCCAATTTGTCATTGGTTTCTATCGACAAGTGTAAGTAGATCATTGCGAATTTGGGATTTTAAGCCTATAAAACTTATTTTGGACTTTGTTTGAGCTTTGGTCCAAATTTGCCAAACACAATCATCAATTTTTGGACTCAGTTTTGGGCTATGTGCTTGACTTTGACTACTCCAAGTTATCCTTGACAATGTTAAAACTACTAGTAATATTTAGGGATTACATTTTATACACCGCCAATGTATAACATTTACCCACTATCACTTAATTACAGAGTGTATTCATGACATCAAACTCAGTTAAACTCATATAATACAAAATTAAGTTGTAATTTTTCTAATCTTCATATAGTCTTTAACCGTTAGTAGCTTGCTTTCCTAGACAGACATGGAAAAGGTAGAATCTTGCCTTTGCATTATAATCTGCAAATAATTTTGTATAATACCCTTTCAAATTGTTAACCTTGTCTGGGTTCTACACATTTAAAAACCTCACAGCCACAGCTCAGCCAAGCCCAGTTATGTGGCCGACATTAGGTCTAGCCATGCCCTTTAAATAAAACAATGGGTCTTAACTTTAGCAGTTTACCATCCTATTAAACTTAATAAAAACCCTTCAATCAAAATATTTTTTTTATTTCTTAAGTTTCACTCACCTACTTTGATTGCAATAGCCATTAAGGCTTGAGTACAGAATGAAGGGAATCCAGGACTACTGGCCAATGGCTTATAAGCCTTATGGGGACCAACTTTTTTCTTTTTTTTTTTATACTAGGAATCATACTTGTATGGACAAATTTGGGAACATTTCTGCTTACCAACTTCATTATTCTTTTCTTACCTTGAATATTACCTGATTTTCTGAGCATAAATTTCAAATTGGTTCATATCAGTGTCCACACATGCAACAAAACATATTGGTGTTTTCTTGTAATTATATTACTTTGGGTTTGGCATGAACTATTTGGTTAGTAGCTCGAACCTAATCTGGGCCCTCGTCTTCCCATGTAGAATGCCTCTTTGGACTTTCCCTAGCTTGGATTTGTTTGAGAAAACAAAATCCATCTAAGAAAGCTTAAACTGCAATATATCGAATTAATGATTTGATTTGAAATAAAAATTAATTATTTTTAATATAAAATTGAACACCACCTTCAATCCGTCCTTGACTGACAACTAAAATTGATCTTTCTCTCAAGACAATCCCAACCTGGATTGAGTTTGATGGAGCAAATATTCGGGTTGTTGAGGCAATTTTTTTTGTTTGCTGGTTGGTGATGGAATTGACAATGAGATTGACACAATTCTCACTTGTGGTGTATTGTCCTTTCACTGTCCCTCTTGGCAAAACTGTTCACAATCAAAGCATTACTTAAAACATGCCCCCCAGAAGTATCAGACCGTATGATTAGAAGTCCAATCAACTTTAGAATAATGAAAGTTAACTGCTATCATTGATTTTTAATTTTAATCTTTGGTTTCTTATATGCTTTGTAACACTAATCATTACCTGTAATGGAGTTGAAAACTTTTTAATGGTTGGTAGAGTTGAGTCAGATATTAGGAGGATTGGGACACACTGCCAAATGCTTCATAACAACCTTACGCATGATTACATTGATTTTGACTATCTAACCAAATTAGCTTGTAAAAAGGTGAAGGCTCAAGGGGGATTTGTTTTCGAAACAAAGCTCAATTCTCCTGCAACATTTCCATAACTTAAAATATAAGGGATTTGCTCAGTTTGGTTCATCAACCATGATATCTATGGCAAGCCTACTTTTGCTTCAAACTCAAGATTGTAAAGTGTGACATAAAATCATTCATTTGCTTTCTGATTTTTGGGTCTTTATCACTCAAAAGAAAACATATGATGAAACCTCCTCACACACTTCAAACAATCTTCTTCCACCATGTCTCCTTATCACCAACCCTTAATGTTTTCCTCAAAATGGGTTTTTTTTTTTTTAGTAGAAGTTCAATTACCCATTAGCAAGCTTTGATGGAGTTCCAAACAAGCTTCCAATTGTATTTTCGTGGTCATGACAGCAGTTGGGGGAGAGCTGAATGTTAATTGCTATTGAAGAAACAAGCAAAAAAGTAGCAGCATTAATGGTGGAATGTGTAGAATGGAAGGAAAAACTGAAGAAGTGATGCTCCTATATAGGAGAAGCATATTTCTTTTCAACTGAAAATAACAAGTTCTCAAATTCCATTACTCACCTCAGAAACTTTGATTTCTACTAACAAATAAACTGCAAAAAGAATTCCCATGAGGAGGAAGAAGATAGAAAAATAGAAAGAAAGAATGCAAAAAAAAAAAAAGGAAAACAACACAGACTCAAATAACTAATGACCTTTAAAGGCTTACTCAGTACTAAACCTACAACTCTTGCTACCCTTAAGCTTCCATGTTCTCTACCCTTTTTTTCTCAGTTCTCTCATTACAACCCCTCTCTACTATCTAAAAATATTGGTCATCTATTGCTCCTATTCCCCCATTCCAACCCTGTACAAAAAAACAATGAACAAAGAGATAAAATAACAGTAAGAGAATAACACAAGGGCTAAAGAGAGAGAGAGAGAGGGAGGGAAACAGAGAGGAGAGTTTATCCCAGCAATAGGGATTCAACAATTCCCCACACCCTCCCTCACATAAAATCCAACGCTGGGTTGCTTTTATTGGGAATCAACTCTGGTGAACTGGTGACCATTGTTGTTGGTGCTACACCAACTTTGTTTCGCATCTCGAGCACCTTCTTATGCGAATTGGAGTGCAATGAGGGAACAAATGTTGGACTTGCTGCAGGCCGGTACTCAGGGAAGAGCCTGCCTGACTTGTACCGCACGCCACAAGCATTGCAAAGTGTTTTTGGCCCCATTGGCCCTGCCCTCCATTGTGGTGTCTTTGTTATCTCACAGTGCATACATTTCCTAACCGCTTGCCCTGCTGAATTTTGATTATTATCTGCAGGAGCAGCTGGAAGTGACAACTTGATCTTCTTTTTCTTCTTATGTTCGGGATTAACTTGCCTAGGAATCTTGATCAAGAGCCGCGACTCAGCATAATTCTCAGAGTCAGAAGGCGCCTTGGGGACAACAAACGGCTGAGGGATGTCATTCTCATTGACAGATGAAGTAGGGGAGATAAGCTGAATCGCGGGACGAGGATTGAAGGTGGTAGGGCGGGGACGTTTGCTACGAGCACGTCCACGCCTCCCAGGGGCAGCCATCTCAGGACTGCGAGGCAATGTCTTCTCTCCTGAGCAGGAGCTGCTGCTCTCGAGAACAGAAACCGGACTGGAAGTCTGGAACTGATGCTGGGATGAGTCCTTAGTAATGGAAGAGGACTCTTCTTTCTTAATAGTCAAGCTTGCTCCACATTGAGAATCATCCACAAAGTTTGACAACCATTCCAATTGAACAATGTCCTCATACTGCAACCAAACAGTAATCAGGGTCAATACTTGAAATCAAAAGCATTTGAAATCCTTAAAATTCCAGGCTAACATAAGATCAATTGTGACTTTTTTTCCTTTTAATAAATAATAATAAGAAAATCTTTCATATTTGCCACCTAAGCATGTATAACTAATCAGACAGCACATCACGTGACTTCCATGACTGAAGCAATAATTATGCCACTAAATAATGCAAAACTATGGGGTGGATTCCACATTTCCACCCACGTAGCCGACAATCCATATCAAACCTTAACGAATAATTAAATATAATTAAAATTATTATTCAAAATCCCGCTATTCACAAAGACCCCACAAAAGTTAATTTGCTAAAGTCCAGAAAAACCACCCCCAAAAAATAAGTGACACTTATGACGTCATTATTGGAAACAAAATCAGGGAAGAAACTGATACTAACCGGAACAGAGAGTTCCGCGGAGAGGTCCGAAGCACTGTTGTTGGAAAAAACAGAGTCAGAACAAGGCAATGACTCGGAATGAGTTGTCCAAATGCTGGGAAAAGCGGCGGCGTTGACGGCGGAGTCGGAGGCGGATAAACCAGCCTCCACATCCTCGTTAGGGAAGTCGAGGAGGTCGTCTATGTGGTCGAAGAAGCTGCCGCAATCTATCTCATCGATGAAGTTCGTTGGCCCAATCATTTTTTCTTTGATATAAAATAAAATAAACCTGCAAAAAAGAAAAAGAAAACGTAAATTTATTAGTTTTGCATGTGAATGTCTACAACGAGTATATAAAGCAAGTGGGCAGTGATGAATTGATTGAGCCGTGTGGCGCATGTTAGTATCAAGCGCCAGCTTTGAAAGAGCTTTAGTGACATACCGTAAGTAACTTCCTTTTGAAACTCACTATGGATTTATTTGTTTGAAAATTGAAATTTCAAATTTGGGTTACTCCCAATTGGGAGTACCTGTAAATTTTGACGGAAAATGTCGGTTTTTTTTTGTTTGCAAAGGGAAGGTGGATGAAAGCTTCCAAAGTAAATTGGTGCAAGGTGGTCCAAGGGAAGCTGACATTTGTTTATTTCCCAAACAGGGGATTATTCTTTCTTTTTTTTTCAAAATTTGAAGGAAAAAACAAAAAAGAAGACAAAGGGATTCTGAAGCAAACCTCTGTTACTGATAAGCAAAAACTTTCGGGGAAGACGCGATAATTTCTACGAAAATGAGGAGAATTTCGCTTGAGAAACCTACAAGAAGAGTTAACAAAAAGTGAAATTGTTAGTACATAAGACTACTTTGGTAGCTGAAATAATAATACAATGCTATTTGTATTTGAAAAAGAATGCAGCAGAAGCTTTTCTTTTGTTTCAGTGTTCCAGAAAAACCAAAACCAACAGGGAATCGTTTTAATTTGTACTTTTTTTATTACATTACTCTGTTTGTTCCCCAAGAAAAGTGACGGAACAAAGGAATTGAATTTTGAGAATATGATTTCCTTTTGCTTAATTGGTAAGACAAAATGAGAACCCAATTCAGTAAAAAAAAATTTTTGGAGAAGTTGGCTTTAGTTCAGAATTGGGGTTTCCACTTGGAATACTGAAATAATGAAAAAACTTTAGTTCTCCAATTCAGTTCAAATCCCTCTCATTTCCTACACTTTCTCAGCTACCAAACAGTGTATTCTTGATGAAAAGGGGAAAAAATGCGTCTCGAACCTATAATTCTATAATCGTACTCCCTGCCGACACTGAAATTTTCAATGTAACACCAGTCCAGATGTTCAAAAGACGAAGAACTCACTGACAAATACTAAACTCGAACTCAAAAACTACAATTCCCGCCCAAAGACAAAAACTTTGATTGTGAATCCCAAAAAACTGTCCCCCGTACGAAAAACCCAAGTCCAAAAACCCGAAAAAAGAATGAAAATATCAGCTACCTAGCAATCCAAACAAGTTCAAACCCTCTTCATGTTTTGATTAAGTTATAGTGAGAGAAGAAGCATGTATGCAGTAGTAAAAGCAATGGCTTTGAACAACAATACCTTGATAAGAGAAGAAAGAAGGAGAGAGAGAGAGAGAGAGAGAGAGAAATGGGAAAGTTTTGAAAGGAGAGAGAGGTAGAAAACAGAGGCTAAAAAGGAGAGGAAGCAGGGATTGAAGGGTTTATGGTAGGTGCGCCTCCTCCTTCATTGCTAGCTGTCTTTTACTCTCCTTCTCCTCTGTCTTGATGTTGAAGTCTTCTCTCTCTCCCTGATTACCCCCTTTGGGTCCCACCCTTCCTCTATGCTTTTTCCCAAGTTTTCAAAATTTTTTTCACACTCAAATTTGGGTGAAGAGAGGTCGGAGGCCAAAGGCTGGATTTTATACACAGCGGAAGAAGATAAGATACCTTTTTTTTTTCTTTTTTGTCAGAATATTTTAACCTGACACAGGAATTTTTTCCTTTTTTTTATATATTTTTTACATTTTTTTTAACCGCCTTAGATGGCAAACAAATAAAAAGTCAATAACAAAAGAAAACTAGTTCACGCGTAGAGATGGGAGTCTGGATCACGTACGTCGTACATTACTGACGTGGCGTTCTTCCATTGGGTTTATTGACGTGGCACTTAAAAATGACGCGTGGGATTTTACCCTCCACTTGGTTTTCACATGCCTAGTGGATTAGATTTGCCACCCATTTCCCAATAAATATACAGCTATTCCTTCTTCCGGGTTGTCAAATAACCTAACGCGGTTGTTCTCGGCATTAAGCTTTCACATATGGCCGTGAAATTAAAAAAATAATTATAATTAATTATTTATATTATATAATTAATTAAAAAAATCGATATACTTAAGCTTAATATGATCAATCAAATCAAATGAGAATGAACTTTTACCCCCAAAAACTAGTACGAAGCGTCTGGTTACCGGATAGAGGCAAAGGCAAAAGAAGCTTCTTCGGCTCTCCGTTAATAGCATTTTTGTGATTATGTGTGCTTTTTGCTGCATTTGTCTAACCAATTTGAATAAATGTAAATTAATTGAGGTGATGGCATTGAATTAAATCCTTTTAATTTCAACTTATGTAATACGGTTTGTATTTAATTGCATTACGTTTCATGGAGATAATGAGAGTTGAATAAGCCTTTAATAATATTATTTATTTTATTTGCCCTAGAGAGTGCATCAGGCACATTGGATTGGATACATGTACACCACAAATCACTACTCTATGATAAAATTATTTAATTTTTGTACACATATGTATGTTTGAATCATTTAATTCAAATAATTTGAATTAAAAACTATCATTTTTTTTGTTGGTGTTGACTACTAATTATGAAATTTGATGGGAAAAACTATGATTACCATAAATGTAGTCATTGTAGGTATGATTTTGTTAAAAAAAACCCTAAACTGAGCTAAAGCCATAGCCAATGGTTTATAATTTTATTTTCAATTTGAAAAGATCGGTCAATGATCACTAAGTAAATAGAACTCATTTAATATATACAAATATAAATATATATGAGTCACGAGATCATTATTTTTTAGAATCTCCTACTTATTCTAAATAGAATTGAAACATCTTACATAAATATTTTTGAAATGTTTGACATAATATCTCGTAAAATATTCACCCGCAAGTCAATAGCATTTGAGGACAATCTTCAAAATTAATTTTACTTTTTACTTTTTCTGTGGTAAATGCTTGCAATCTATAGTTGATAGAAATATTTCATCTCTTTTTATTGTTGTTGTTGTTTTCCTTTTTTTTTTGGATATTTTAAAATATTATTTTTAAAATTATTTATTTTGAGACTTAACCGGTGTGTTAAAGTCTTTTCCACTTTATTTAAAGTTAACTAAAATGGGAAAACCTATGTAAAAAAAAAAAGGCAAATTTGCTGTCACTGAGTGGAATTTGCCTTTTGTATTTTTACAACATAACTCTACAACACCTAATGGAAATTAATTAATTTTTTCTCCCCACACCCTGTGGATGGGAGCCACAGGTTGTTCTAAATTGGAAAGATCATTACCAGCAAATAAAGAATACCAAATTTGGGATTTGATATTAACAAAAAGTGTTGATTTTTTTTTATTTATAATAATATGAGGAAAAGGTTAATAAAAGTGACTGCATAACAGAAACATGTTTAGGGTTTATAGCCTCAGAGAAATGATGAACCTCACTCACTCACTCAAGTCAAGACCCCATAGTCCCCCCCTTCTCCTTTCACCCTCTTTTAACTAACTTGAATTGTACTCTTTGCATCAATTCCTTCTAAAATACTCCCTCTCTCTCTCTCTCCCTCCCTTTTTTCTTCTGAAAAAATCTGCTAATATATTAGAAAAAGGGACTCCATGCATATCCTTTGAATGACTTGGGTTGCACTCTTTGCATAACTTCCTTCTAAGAGACTTCTTCCCTTCTTTTCAAAAGCAAATTAGGGTGAAACCCATTTTATTTTATGTTGTAGGAGGTTAGGCTCTATGCACTATAAAAATTGGATTTGGTGCCATAAAAACCAACCTATGGGTTTCTCTTCAAACTATGGAAATGGGAAAATGACAATAATTCCATAGCTTGGTGTGGTATGGCATCTCATTCTATTGAAAGAAAATATTACGTCCTAAGAATTAGTTTCTTAATTAATCCATGTGCACTTTTTTTTGTTGTTTAAGTTTCCTTGCAAGGGAAAATCTATATCCTTATCAATTTTGTACTTGTAGGGTGGGTGCTTCTCTTATTTGCAAGTTGTACATTATATGACAATTTAATTGTTAATGTGTGACACACATGTTTAATACAATTAAATGTTAACATAGCATTCTCATAAAATAATATGATGGACATACCATTTCTTCCCTTTAAAGACAAGAGGAGGAAAGGTGTTACGTCTATCACTTTTTTTTCAACAAATACCTTATGATTATAACAAAATGTGATGGGGGCCATGTATTTATAACAACGTATTAATTCTTGACACATATTATATAGGTAAATAAGATAATTTATTTATTACAATTAACTACAAAATGAATGCATATCAACCCATTTTGTACAAGTTGTACCAATGGGTAGTTTTCTGCTTTCGTTTTTTTTTTTACATTATTTTTGGCTGTTAAATGTTTATTGCTAACATTTTGTTCATTTGAAGGGGAAGGCAAGGGTATTATTTGGAGGGCATTGATGTAGGGTAGGAACTAATTATAGACCGTACATAACAACATCTAAACAACATAATCTTATGCAACTACGAACTACCTCACCATCTTGCCCAAGAACAAAGTTTTTGATCTAACTTTCATTACTATACAAATAATCGAAAGTCCTTCCCCAATCCAAAAACCTCCTGTGTCGGTAAGGGGGAGAGAAAAAAAATATATGGCCAATGTATCTAAACCTATGGGAAGAAGCACATGGCACTGTGCCCTAAAATGGGTGCCCATGCATTGATTCATTGCTTGAATATTTCTCAAACCATTTTAAATCACAAATCAACTTCAAAAATATCTAAATCACTTGAGGAATTGCCTAAACATACTATTCCATTGTAGCTTTAATTAATAGCAAATCCCCATAGACATGGACTAACAAAATTTTGACTCATTAACTTTGTCCACTCTTGCTGGCCAATTAGGTCGTTTAAATCCATAGTTTTTTTTCTTTAATTCAAAGTCTATTCTCTCCCTAACGTTCTACAAATTATACCTAAAACAGCAATATAAAATTTCTTTTCATGAATGATCGATTACTAGTTGATGCTCACATGATGTGCTACTGTTTAACAGTCATATGCACGTACTTATTTGATTTTTTAATTAAATTAAATAAATTATTTTAAAAGAATGTAATACAAAAGTCTAATGATTCACTCATCGTCAATTTACCAAGAAAATAATAACAATAAACTTTGCATTAGGAATTAGTTGTCACATACACATGGGGTTGATGAAAGAAAAGACAGGGTAACCTTCCTTACATTTCCATGACGAATTTACCCTTGGTAACCTTCCTCGATTTATCAATTTATCATGGGCAAAATGGTGAATTCGCTGATGTGCATCGTACGTGAGAGCAAGTAAGGAGACCACGTTGAATATGGGACCCATCTGGCACGTTCAAAAAACCGTCGGTTGCACAGCGTTGGTTTTTTGCCAACGTGGCAGGACACAGATTCACCATGTTGCGTATGGAGCCCACAACTGTGAATCAAAGCTTGCTCAACTCCAGCTAAGTTCAGTGATAAGGAAAAAATGAGAGCACGTGAGGTGGGGCCGAATGGCAGGTGACTCCAACTTGGGATCCGAACCTTCGATTAACTTTGGTATACATGGACTAATCATTCTCTGCCACGTTGTCAGTGCTGACTTTTAGTAGACGAAAGTACCCACACGGAATTGTTTTTATTACCTTTTTAGGATCTTTGATGTTACCCTTAGATCATGTGTTCGGGTGGGGCCCACTTTGGAGCATCAAGCCGTACGCAGACAAATTGTGATCAGAGGAACTTTGGTGGGCTCAACGGAAGGTGTGGTGGGAATCAAAATTACTCAAATGCCCTTCAATAAAATAATATTATATGAAATTAAAAGATGAATTTAACATCTTTCAAAATTTATTTTTTTGAAATCTTAATTACTGATAAAATTATAATTAATATCATTTGAAAAGACTAAAGTAAACAAGTAATTTAAAAAAAAGAATAATAATAGTTTTATAAATATTTATTTATTATCCATAATTAATCTGTTCGGAAGGTGGAAGCTGCTAGTTGTTTACTACTTTAAAGTGAAAGTAGAACGTGCAGTTACATGGCCACAGCTGTTTTAATGTATTGACTAAACACAACACATTGAGCTGAGAGAGCCAGGGGTTTGTTGGTCAAAAAAAATATTGCAATTGGATTATTGTTTAACTCCATTCAAACCTTCTTTACTTTGATTATCACGACATAAATCTCTATATCTTTCATATAGAAATTTTTTAAATATACTTATATTTGCTTTTATGATACATGAGAGGTTTCTCTTTGACTCATTACCAAACCCATACCCACTCCTTTATTTTTTTGCCTTTTTTTTATTTCACAATTATTAGAACAAAATTTTGCATGTACATTATTTTATAACATAATTAAATTAATAAAATTATATTATTTAACATTTAAGTTGTACAGGAAAAGGTGAAAAATTTTATAAAATGCCACATGATGTAAATCGGTAAATTGAAAAAAAATTTCAAAAACGAATCATGAACCAAAATGTGAACTTGAGATAATTTAGTAACAATATTTAAAAGATTACTCTTTATTTTATAGAT